CCTGTATTCAAGACACTGCAAGGAAACCCGGCCTCCTTTCAAGTTAGGGCTTCTCGTTGCATATTCCACTTGAGGCAGCAAACTGGGGGTCCCTCCAACATAACTATTGCTGAGAGAAGCCTCCCCTTGAGGTGCTTCTGGAAAGTTGGCATACGTCTTGAGCCTAAGCCAGGGAATCAGCTCTCATCTCGAGACGATTTGGGGTACACGGAGCATTCCTCGAGTTGCTGTGCTGAAGATGGTGTTCCTCTAGACTTGGGACAGTGTTCTCAGGGCATCTCTGGAGTTGTCTGAAGGAAGTCAAGCCACTGGTGGTGTTTAATGTGGAACGGGGGATGGCTCTGGAGTCAATGCAGGGGAATCGGGCATTATCTCGAGTTGATGTGGGGGACATGGTGCTGCTTTGGGTTGATGGGGTGACCTCAGGATCCGTCTAGACATGTGACAGTATTCTTGGGGACTGTCTCGAGATCCATTAAGCAAGTCGAAGGTCCTGACTTGTTTGATGGGGATCACGGAATTGCTCTGCATGCACTGCAGGAGAATCGGGCCTCATCTCGCCACTAGGGGAAAGTCTCATGGTTTTTCTCGACTTGGGGCGGGGACCTGGGGTATGTACTCGGGTTACGGCGGGGATGGCCCTTAAAAACTCGTGTTTAATCAGTGACGTCAGGTCTCCCGTCCAGTAACGAGGGACAGCACAGGAATCTCTTCGAGGCTTGGCAGGCACTAGGGACGCTTCTCGAGCTGAGGCAGGGCACCCAAGGAACCTTTCAAATAGCCACAGGGATTTTGTGATTCCTATCAATATTCAAGAGGAGTCAGGCATCGTCAGCTTTTGAAGCAGTGAACTCCGCGTGACTCTCGAGGTGTCAACGGGATGTGAGGCATTCCGTCAAATGAGGCAGGGACCTAGGGCTTTCTCTAAGGTCTCCACAGGGGATTCAGACATCCCTTCATGCTGTGAGATGAAAGACAAGCCTGTATTCAAGCCACTGCAAGGAAATCCGAACTCCTTTCAAGTTAGGGCTTCTCGCTGTATATTCCACTTGAGGCAGCAAACTCGGGGTCCCTCCCACATACCTATTGCTGAGAGAAGCCTCCTCTTGAGGTGCTTCTGGAAAGTTGGCATACGTCTTGAGCCTAAGCCATGGAATCAGCTCTCACCTCGAAACGATTTGGGGTACACGGAGCATTCCTCGAGTTGCTGTGCTGAAGTTCGTATTCCTCTAGACTTGGGACAGTGTTCTCGAAGCACCTCTAGAGTTGCCGGAAGGAAGTCAAGCCAATGGTGGTGTTTAATGGGGTACGGGGGATGGCTCTGGAGTCAATGCATGGGAATCGGGCCTCATCTCAAGTTGATGTGGGGTACTTGCAGCTGCTTTGCATTGCTTGGGTGACCTCAGGGTCTGTCTAGACTTGTGACAGTGTTCCTGGGGACTTTCTCGAGTTCAATTAAGCAAGTCGAAGCTCCTGACTTGCATGATGGGGATCACGGGAATGCTCTTCATGGACTGCAGGAATCAGGCCTCATCTCGCATCTAGGGGAAGTCTCATGGTTTTACTCGAGTTGCGGCGCGAACTGGGGTATGTTCTCGAGTTACGGCGGGGATGGCCCTTCAAAACACGTGTTTATTCAGTGACGTCAGGACTCCTGTCTAGTAACGAGAGACACCTCAGGAATCTCTTCGAGGCTTGGCAGGACAAAAGGGATGCTTCTCGAGGTGAGGCAGGGCACCCAAGAACCCTGTCCTGTAGCCACAGTGATTTTGGGATTCCTATCAATGTTCAGGAGGAGTCAGGCATCGTCACATTTTGAAGCAGTGAACTCCGTGTGCCTCTCGAGGTGTCAAAGGGATGTGAGACATTCCGTCAAAATCAGGCAGGGACCTAGGGCTTTCTCTACGGTCTCCACAGTGGATTCAGACATCCCTTCCTGTTGTGAGATGAAAGACGAGCCTGTATTCAAGACACTGCAAGGAAATCCGGCCTCCTTTCAAGTTAGGGCTTCTCACTGTATATTCCACTTGAGGCAGCAAAGTGGAGGTCCCTCCAACATACCTATTGCTGAGAGAAGCCTCCTCTTGAGGTGCTTCTGGAAAGTTGGCATACGTCTTGAGCCTAAGCCAGGGAATCAGCTCTCATCTCGAGAAGATTTGGCATACAGGAAGCATTCCTCGAGTTGCTGTGCTAAAGTAGGTGTTCCTCTAGACTAGGGACAGTGTTCTCGGGGCATCTCTGGAGTTGTCTGAAGGAGGTCAAGCCACTGGTGGTGTTTAATGCGGAACGGGAGATGGCTCTGGAGTCAATACAGGGGAATCGGACCTCATCTCAAGTTGATTTGGGGCACATGGAGCTGCTTTGCGTTGCTGGGGATACCTCAGGGTCCGTCTAGACATGTGACAGTGTTCTTGGGGACTGTCTCGAGATCCATTAAGCAAGTCGAAGCTCCTGACTTGTTTGATGGGGATCACGGGAATACTCTGCATGCACTGTAGGGAATCAGGACTCATCTCGCATCTAACGAGAAGTCTCATGGTTTCTCTCAATTTGCGCGGGGGACCTGGGGTATCTTCTCGAGTTACGGCGGCGATGGCCCTTGAAAACACGTGTTTATTCAGTGCCGAGAGGACTCCTGCCTAGTAACGAGGGACACCTCAGGAATCTCTTCGAGGCTTGGCAGGGCAAAATGGATGCTTCTCGAGGTGAGGCAGGGCACACAAGAATCCTTTCCTGTAGCCACAGTGATTTTGGGATTCCTATCAATATTCAAGACGAGTGAGGCATCATCAACTTTTGAAGCAGTGAACTCCGCGTGCCTCTCGAAGTGTAAACGGGATGTGAGGCATTCCGTCAAAATGAGGCAGGGACCTAGAGCTTTCTCTAAGGTCTCCACAGGGGATTCAGACATCCCTTCATGCTGTGAGATGAAAGACGAGCCTGTATTCAAGCCACTGCAAGGAAATCCGGCCTCGTTTCAAGTTAGGGCTTCTCGCTGTATATTCCACTTGAGGCAGCAAACTCGGGGTCCCTCCCAAATACATATTGCTGAGATAAGCCTCCTCTTGAGGTGCTTCTGGAAAGTTGGCATACGTCTTGAGCCTAAGCCATGGAATCAGCTCTCACCTCGAAACGATTTGTGGTACACGGACCATTCCTCGAGTTGCTTTGCTGAAGTTCGTATTCCTCTAGACTTGGGACAGTGTTCTCGGGCCATCTCTGGAGTTGCCTGAAGGAAGTCAAGCCTCTGGTGGTGCTTAATGGGGTACGGGGGATGGCTCTGGAGTCAATGCCGGAGAATCGGGCCTCATCTCGAGTTGATGTGGGGCACTTGGAGCTGCTTTGCATTGCTGGGGTGACCTCAGGGTCTGTCTAGACTTGTGACAGTGTTCCTGGGGACTCTCTGGAGATCCATTAAGCAAGTCGAAGCTCCTGACTTGCTTGATGGGGATCACGGGACTGCTCTGCATGGACTGCAGGGAATCAGACCTCATCTCGCATCTAGGGGAAGTCTCAACGTTTTGCTCCAGTTGCGGCCGGACCTGGGGTATGTTCTCGACTTATGGCGGGGATGGGCCTTCAAAACACGTGTTTATTCAGTGACGTCATGACTCCTGTCTAGTAATGAGGGACACCTCAGGAATCTCTTCGAGCCTTGGCAGGGCAAAAGGGATGCTTCTCGAGGTGAGGCAGGGCACACAAGAACCCTTTCCTGTAGCCACAGTGATTTTTTGATTCCTATCAATGTTCAGGAGGAGTCAGGCATCGTCACATTTGAAGCAGTGAACTCCGTGTGTCTCTCGAGGTGTCAACGAGATGTGAGGCAATCCGTCAAAATGAGGCAGGGACCAAGGGCTTTCGCTAAGGTCTCCACAGGGGATTCAGACATTCCTTCCGGTTGTGAGATGAAAGACGAGCCTGTATTCAAGATACGGCAAGGAAACCCGGCCTCCTTTCAAGTTAGGGCTTCTCGCTGCATATTCCACTTGAGGCAGCAAACTGGGGGCCCCTCCAACATACCTATTGCTGAGAGAAGCCTCCCCTTGAGGTGCTTCTGGAAAGTTGGCATACGTCTTGAGCCTAAGCCAGGGAATCAGCTCTCATCTCGAGATGATTTGGGGTACACGGAGCATTCCTCGAGTTGCTGTGCTGAAGATGGTGTTCCTCTAGACTTGGGACAGTGTTCTCAGGTCATCTCTGGAGTTTCTGAAGGAAGTCAAGCCACTGGTCGTGTTTAATGTGGAACGGGGGATGGCTCTTGGGTCAATGCAGGGGAATCGGTCATTATCTCGAGTTGATGTGGGGCACATGGTGCTGCTTTGCGTTGATGGGCTGACCTCAGGATCCGTCTAGACATGTGACAGTATTCTTGGGGACTGTCTCGAGATCCATTAAGCAAGTCGAAGGTCCTGACTTGTTTGATGGGGATCACGGAACTGCTCTGCATGCACTGCAGGAGAATCGGGCCTCATCTCGCCACTAGGGGAAAATCTCATGGTTTTTCTCGACTTGCGGCGGGGACCTGGGGTATGTACTCGGGTTACGGCGGGGATGGACCTTAAAAACTCGTGTTTATTCAGTGACGTCAGGACTCCTGTCCAGTAACGAGGGACAGCTCAGGAATCTCTTCGAGGCTTGGCAGGCACAAGGGACGCTTCTCGAGGTGAGGCAGGGCACCCAAGGAACCTTTCAAATAGCCACAGGGATTTTGGGATTCCTATCAATATTCAAGAGGAGTCAGGCATCATCACCTTTTGAAGCAGTGAACTCCGCGTGCCTCTCGAGGTGTCAACGGGATGTGAGGCAATCGGTCAAAATGAGGCAGGGACCTAGGGCTTTCTCTAAGGTCTCCACAGGGGATTCAGACATCCCTTCCGGTTGTGAGATGAAAGACGAGCCTGTATTCAAGACACTGCAAGGAAATCCGGCCTCCTTTCAAGTTAGGGCTTCTCGCTGTATATTCCACTTGAGGCAGCAAAGTGGGGGTCCCTCCAACATACCTATTGCTGAGAGAATCCTCCGCTTGAGGTGCTTCTGGAAAGTTGGCATACGTCTTGAACCTAAGCCAGGGAATCAGCTCTCATCTCGAGACGATTTGGGGTACACGGAGCATTCCTCGATTTGCTGTGCTGAAGTTCGTGTTCCTCTAGACTTGGGACAGTGTTCTCGGGGCATCTCTGGAGTTGCCTGAAGGAAGTCAAGCCACTGGTCGTGTTTAATGGGGAACGGGGGATGGCTCTGGAGTCAATGAAGGGGGATCTGCCATCATCCCGAGTTGATTTGGGGCACATTGTGCTGCTTTGCGTTGATGGGGTGACCTCAGGATCCGTCTAGACATGTGACAGTATTCTTGGGGACTGTCTCGAGATCCATTAAGCAAGTCGAAGGTCCTGACTTGTTTGATGGGGATCATGGAATTGCTCTGCATGCACTGCAGGAGAATCGGGTCTCATCTCGCCTCTAGGGGAAAGTCTCATGCTTTATCTCGACTTGCGGCGGGGACCTCGGGTATGTACTCGGGTTACGGCAGGGATGGCCCTTCAAAACTCGTGTTTATTCAGTGACGTCAGGACTCCTGTCCAGTAACGAGGGACAGCTCAGGAATCTTTTCGAGGCTTGGCAGTGCACAAGGGACGCTTCTGGAGTTGAGGCAGGGCACCCAAGGAACCTTTCCAATAGCCACAGGGATTTTGGGATTCCTATCAATATTCAAGAGGAGTCAAGCATCGTCAAATTTTGAAGCAGTGAACTCCGCGTGCCTCTCGAGGTGACAGCGGGATGTGAGGCATTCCGTCATAAAGAGGCAGGGACCTAGAGCTTTCTCTAACGTCTCCACAGGGGATTCAGACATCCCTTCATGCTGTGAGATGAAAGACGAGCCTGTATTCAAGCCACTGCAAGGAAATCCGGCCTCCTTTCAAGTTAGGGCTTCTCGCTGTACATTCCACTTGAAGCAGCAAACTCGGGGTCCCACGAACATACCTATTGATGAGAGAAGCCTCCTCTTGAGGTGCTTCTGGAAAGTTGGCATACGTCTTGAGCCTAAGCCAGGGATTCAGCTCTCATCTCGAGACGATTTGTGGTACACGGAGCATTCCTCGAGTTGCTGTGCTGAAGTTGGTGTTCCTCTAGTCTTGGGACAGTGTTCTCGGGGCATCTTTGGAGTTGCCTGAAGGAAGTCAAGCCAGTGTTCTTGTTTAATGGGGAACTGGGGATGGCTCTGTAGTCAATGCAGGGGAATCGGGCCACATCTCGGGTTGATTTGGGGCACATGGAGCTGCTTTGCTTTGCAGGGGTGACCTCAGGGTCCGTCTAGACTTGTGACAGTGTTCTTGGGGACTGTCTCGAGATCCATTAAGCAAGTCGAAGCTCCTGACTTGTTGATGGGGATCAGGGGAACACCCTGCATGCACTGCAGGGAATCAGGACTCATCTCGCATCTTGGGGGAAGTCTCATGGTTTCTCTCAAGTTGCGCTGGGGACCTGGGGTATCTTCTCGAGTTACGTCGGGGATGGCCCTTCAAAACACGTGTTTATTCAGTACCGTCAGGACTCCTGTCTAGTAACGAGGGAAACCTCAGGAATCTCTTCGAGGCTTGGCAGGTCAAAAGGTATGCTTCTCGAGGTGAGGCAGGGCACTGAAGGACCCTTTCTAGTAGCCACAGTGATTTTGGGATTCCTATCAATATTCAAGAGGAGTCAGGCATCGTCACCTTTTGAAGCAGTGAACTCCGCGTCACTCTCGAAGTGACAACGGGATGTGAGGCATTCCCTCTAAATGAGGCAGGGACCTAGAGCTTTCTCTAAGGTCTCCACAGGGATTCAGACATCCCTTCATGCTGTGAGATGAAAGACGAGCCTGTATTCAAGCCACTGCAAGGAAATCTGTCCTCCTTTCAAGTTAGGGCTTCTCGCTGTATATTCCACTTGAGGCAGCAAACTCGGGGTCCCTCCCACATACCTATTGCTGAGAGAAGCCTCCTCTTGAGGTGCTTCTGGAAAGTTGGCATACGTCTTGAGCCTAAGCCATGGAATCAGCTCTCACCTCGAAACGATTTGGGGTACACGGAGCATTCCTCGAGTTCCTGTGCTGAAGTTCGTATTCCTCTAGACTTGGGACAGTGTTCTCAGGGCATCTCTGGAGTAGCCTGAAGGAAGTCAAGCCACTGGTGGTGTTTAATGTGGTAAGGGGGATGGCTCTGGAGTCAATGCCGGAGAATCGGGCCTCATCTCGAGTTGATGTCGGGCACTTGGAACTTCTTTGCATTGCTGGGGTGACCTCATTGTCTGTCTAGACTGGTGACAGTGTTCCTGGGGACTCTCTCGAGATCCATTAAGCAAGTCGACGCTCCTGACTTGCTTGATGGGTATCACGGCACTGCTCTGCATGGACTGCAGGGAATCAGACATCATCTCGCATCTAGGGGAATTCTCATCGTTTTGCTCGAGTTGCGGCGGGACCTGGGGTATGTTCTCGAGTTACGGCGGGGATGGCCCTTCAAAACACGTGTTTATTCAGTGACGTCAGGACTCCTGTCTAGTAACGAGAGACACCTCAGGAATCTCTTCGAGGCTTGGCAGGGCAAAAGGGACGCTTCTCGAGGTGAGGCAGGGCACCCAAGAACCCTTTCCTGTAGCCAAAGTGATTTTGGGATTCCTATCAATGTTCAGGAGGAGTCAGCATCGTCACATTTTGAAGCAGTAAACTCCGTGTGCCTCTCGATGTGTCAACGGGATGTGAGGCATTCCGTCAAAATGAGGCAGGGACCTAGGGCTTTCTCTAAGGTCTCCACAGGGGATTCAGTCATCCCTTCCAGTTGTGAGATGAAAGACGAGCCTGTATTCAAGACACTGCAAGGAAATCCGGCATCCTTTCAAGTTAGGGCTTCTCGCTGTATATTCCACTTGAGGCAGCAAACTCGGGGTCCCTCCAACATACGTATTGCTGAGAGAAGCCTCCTCTTGAGGTGCTTCTGGAAAGTTGGCATACGTCTTGAGCCTAAGCCAGGGAATCAGCTCTCATCTCGAGACGATTTGTGGTACACGGAGCATTACTCGAGTTGCTGTGCTGAAGTTGGTGTTCCTCTAGTCTTGGGACAGTGTTCTCAGGGCATCTCTGGAGTTGCCTGAAGGATGTCAAGCCAGTGGCCTTGTTTAATGGGGAACTGGGGATGGCTCTGGAGTCAATGCAGGGGAATCGGGCCATATCTCGGGTTGATTTGGGGCACTTGGAGCTGCTTTGCGTTGCTGGGGTAACCTCAGGGTCCTTCTCGACTTGTGACAGTGTTCTTGGGGACTGTCTCGAGATCCATTAAGCAAGTCGAAGCTCCTGACTTGTTTGATGGGGATCACGGGAATACTCTGCATGCACTGCAGGGAATCAGGACTCATCTCGCATATAGGGGGAAGTCTCATGGTTTCTCTCAAGTTGCGCTGGGGACCTGGGGTATCTTCTCGAGTTATGGCGGGGATGACCCCTCAAAACACGTGTTTATTCAGTGCCATCAGGACTCCTGTCTAGTAACGAGGGACACCTCAGGAATCTCTTCGAGGCTTGGCAGGTCAAAAGGTATGCTTCTCGAGGTGAGGCAGGGCACCCAAGGACCCTTTCCAGAAGCCACAGGGATTTTGGGATTCCTATCAATATTTTAGAGGAGTCAGGCATCGTCACCTTTTGAAGCAGTGAACTCCGCGTACCTCTCAAGGTGACAACGGGATGTATGGCATTCCGTCAAAATGAGGCAGGGATCTAGAGCTTTCTCTAAGGTCTCCACAGGGGATTCAGACATCCCTTCATGCTGTGAGATGAAAGACGAGCCTGTATTCAAGCCACTGCAAGGAAATCCGGCCTCCTTTCAAGTTAGGGCTTCTCGCTGTATATTCCACTTGAGGCAGCACACTCGTGGTCCCTCCAACATACCTATTGCTGAGAGAAGCCTCCTCTTGAGGTGCTTCTGGAAAGTTGGCATACGTCTTGAGCCTAAGCCAGGGATTCAGCTCTCATCTCGAGACGATTTGTGGTACACGGAGCATTACTCCAATTGCTGTGCTGAAGTTGGTGTTCCTCTAGTCTTGGGACAGTGTTCTCGGGGCATTTCTGGAGTTGCCTGAAGGAAGTCAAGCCACTGGTGGTGTTTAGTGGGTTACGGGGGATGGCTCTGGAGTCAATGCATGGGAATCGGGCCTCATCGAGCTGATATGGGGTACTTGCAGCTGCTTTGCATTGCTGGGTGACCTCAGGGTCTGTCTAGACTTGTGACAGTGTTCCTGGGGACTTTCTCGATTTCAATTAAGCAAGTCGAAGCTCCTGACTTGCTTGATGGGGATCACGGGAATGCTCTGCCTGGACTGCAGGGAATCAGGCCTCATCTCGCATCTAGGAGAAGTCTCATGGTTTTACTCGATTTGCGGCGGGAACTGGGGTATGTTCTCGAGTTATGGCGGGGATGGCCCTTCAAAACACGTGTTTATTCAGTGACGTCAGGACTCCTGTCTAGTAACGAGAGACACCTCCGGAATCTCTTCGAGGCTTGGCAGGTCAAAAGGTATGCTTCTCGAGGTGAGGCAGGGCACCCAATGACCCTTTCCAGTAGCCACAGTGATTTTGGGATTCCTATCAATATTCAAGACGAGTGAGGCATCATCACCTTTTGAAGCAGTAAACTCCGCGTGCCTCTCGAAGTGTCAACTGGATTTGAGGCATTCCGTCAAAATGAGGCAGGGACCTAGAGCTTTCTTTAAGGTCTCCACAGGGGATTCAGACATCCCTTCATGTTGTGAGATGAAAGACGAGCCTGTATCCAAGCCACTGCAAGGAAATCCGGCCTCCTTTCAAGTTAGGGCTTCTCGCTGTATATTCCACTTGAGGCAGCAAACTCGGGGTCCCTCCCAAATACCTATTGCTGAGAGAAGCCTCCTCTTGAGGTGCTTCTGGAAAGTTGGCATACGCCTTGAGCCTAAGCCATGGAATCAGCTCTCACCTCGAAACGATTTGGGGTACACGGAGCATTCCTCGAGTTGCTGTGCTGAAGTTCGTATTCCTCTAGACTTGGGACAGTGT